ATATCTGTAATTTGCGTAATAGGTGTAATTGTCTGTAATGATTCAAAATGTAATAGTCGGTCGACCATTTTCATGAGTGATTTCCCCCTTGACATCACGTTGAAATGAATGGACAAAATGTCACGCTCCTGTACATTCGTTTCAACGTGAATAAGCTAACTGATAGCTGATCCACGTCCAAACGAATGTGACACAGTGATAAAAGGAACGTGACATTTTGTCACATCCATTTCACGTTCCTGAGATGAAGGGTGAAACCCCACTCTAAATTTCTTACGAAGAAATTTCCCATAATACGAAGGAAATGGCGCAAGCATAATACGAAGGTGGTTTTTCTTCGTATTACCGTCAACGGGGGTAACTTGGGACACCAGGGGTAACTTGGGACAGTCTGCCCTGTACAGCTTGTTGGTGCTGCCATTCAGCGACGAGGGTTCCTAGCGTCAAACCCGCGGCAGGGTTTTGTTTCAGAGGCCTCAGGGCACGCGCGGAAAGGTGGAAGAGTGCATAACATCACAATTAGTATTTGCGAAACGGGAAACTACATGATAGGGTTTTTGACAAAATATGTCAATCATTGACAAGTTGACCTTAGAGCAAGGAGTGAAATGCAGATTTGGCCGATTAGTCTTTCTGGGTTGTTAGATCATACACAGACAATAAAGTTTGAAAAAGGGCGTTGGTTATAGTTTTCCCATCTTCGGTCCAGACTTCAATTTATCAAAAATCGAAATTTTACGGGGTAACTTGGGACAGTCTTTTCATCATGTTTCCAGCAGTCCTAGCCTTCTAGCAGTTGACTGACCCGATCCCTAACATAACTTAAACTTCGTATTTTACGCTGATGATGGAAAGAGATGCCTTGCTCTGCAGTTTTGCCTTCTGGTAATCCATATTTTGAAATTTTCAGAAAATGCCTAGAAAATGCCAGTAGAAAAGAAAGTTCTACGTAGAGCCCTAGATATAGTCCAATATCGGTCCTACAGGGGTTCATAGGCCTGAATTCTTGGTCTACATGTTGTGACTTAAATTTATTACATCCATTAACATCAATAGATGCATGGGAATGTAGCTAATTGCCTACTGTCCCAAGTTACCCCCGGTCATGGGGTAACTTGGGACACTCTTTCGAGACCGATGGGAAACGACATAATCGAGGCAAATGAACCAGACAAGCATGAAATCATGGGGAAAGGGTCAAACTTTAACATAGTTGGGATCCCTTGGTCTGGGTTGAGAATCTTGCCTCTGGCGTCCAAAAAACGTAAAAAAGTGTCCCAAGTTACCCCCGTTGACGGTACGAAGGTTTTTCTTTGTATCTTACAATGAAAAAGCTGAAAAGATTCTTATTACGAAGGAATATTGCTTCGTATTATGCTTGCGCCGAATTCACTGTAACATACGAATAACATAGGTGAAATTTCATTGTAAGACATTTAGAGTGTGGCCTAAACAAATAGCAATTGCACAATAGACAGTAATTAACGATTAGTTGGCCTTTCGATTTTTCCGGCAGTATTGATCGAAGTCACAGTGAGAAGGTGAAGCTTGACATTTCTTTTCGCCCGCAGGAGAGATGTGCGCAGGAGAAAAGGGAAATGAACTCTTGTGGGCAGCCAGAGGTGTTGCCTACCTCTTGGGCGTTACCCCGGGCCCGCAATCAGGACGCCGGGGGACTTGTACAGCCTTGCAAGGCTCCTCCAAACTGACGCCACGCCGAATCGAGCTGAAGCCGAGGAGGCTCCTCTGTCTAATAAAAAAAATCACCATATCGATTCATCGCAATGAAAATCCCAAAAGGCAGACGTCACGACGAGTTGGGTCTGATCGTGTCCCCGTCGCTCCACTGAGATTCCAAACGCTATGAGTATAGCACGTATGGTGCAATGCGCCGTGATATCGCACCATACGTGCAATGCCACAGCCATATTGCACCTTTGGTGCAATGCTTCCCGAAAAGGCCCTATGCTAATGCATGGGAAATGGGAGGCATTGCACTTCATGTGCAATGCTTTTGCATTGCACCAATTGACGCGATACTCATAGCGTTTGGATTCTCAGTGTCTAAAGGGCGTAGACAATGCGCAAGTTGTGTTCAAACCGATGGTCCTATTTTAATGAAACTTCTCACTGGCTCGTAAAATTGTACGCGCTACAACGTAGTGATGTCACATTTTCACTCCCAACTTTGTTTTTTTTTTACCCTCCGTTTGATTACCGTTAAGGTGTTTTTGTGGCGTTTCTAGACTTTTGCGCGTTGAAGTTTAACCTTTCAAACACCCATATTTTTTTTTTAAATTCAACAAAGTAACATGACCGTAGGGCAAGCACTGTTGTGGACTTTACAACATCTTATTATTTTTTGTGCTTCTTCGGCCCTTCCTTAGGCCGGCTCTGAGTTCGCCCTGACACGGGACATGTCAAACACGTACACTACTTCACAGCCAGGCAGCACTTAGCTCCAACCCCGAAGCCGCGTGTTAATTGGTTGCTTGGGTACACAAGCCCACAGGCGACTCGTCAAAGTGGACGGCGGCGGCCACGGGGGCAGGTCACGCAGCGGTCACATTTGAGCCCACAACAGGGAAAAGTCTTTGTAACGGCAGTTCGCACTCAGCCATGTCCCTCACTGTGGGAAAAAATCACAGTAAATCCTGTAGTGATTAGTGCAGCTGCGAGTACAACTGTCACTGTAGTTCAGAGTACAGGATTTACTGTACTTTTTACAGGATCTACTGTACTTTGTACGGGATCTATCGTACCACGGGAGTGGGGTACGGAATATCCTGTATCAGGTACGGTAAATTCTGTAGCCAGGCACAGTAAATCCTGTGTTCTGAACTACAGTAAATCCCGGCAAAAAAATTAACGGGATTCACTGTTGTTTTTTCGCACAGTGCTTGGTGTATTTACACTCTCGATCAAGAAGGCTAGAACACGAAGGTGCTTCCATGACATTCCTGACGATTTGTTTTTCTGTGTCTTTGGAAGGAACGGCGGTACAACCTCAAGGCTTTCAGGCACCTCTAGGACCAGCACTTGGCCGCGTGGGCTCTTTCGGACGGCTTGCGTCAAGATATGGGAACAATCTTAAGTGACTGCCGCTTTTCCGAAGCAGCTCATCTGGACAGCCCATCGCTTAGATCAGCAGCGGAGGACAGTGGTGGCCTCGCATCAATCATGGGCCTGTGGCAAAGCATCGTCAAGCGTCTCACAACGTACTGCCAAGCCAGCAACACCATGTGGCTCATATGCCGAGTCGCCCGGTACGTTGCACACAGTCCGCCCTTCGCTTTTTGTTTAAGGGGCCAGTAGCGCCATTTACATCATTTTTAGCTCGACTTTTTGTGTCTTGACTGGCAGGCCTCGCACTGCGCGGTGGTGCATGCGGTACTGCCTGGCGCTCTGCGAGGTGACGTCCCTCGTCCCTCCGCCGCCGTCGCCGCGGATGCCGTCCCTGCGGTGGTTCAGGCTCGTCGGGTGGTTTGTCGCAGCCGTGTCGGTCACGCTGGGCAATCAGTACCTGCTCCTCAGCGCAACGAGATCCTTCATTGTCGGATTCAGGTAGGTCTTAAATGCACGAACACCGGCGGCAAAATATATATAAAAATGTAACGGCCATTACCGGCGCAAACTCGACACACACTGCAAGAAAAAAGCCACAGCAAAAGTACACAAATGACTGGCAAATTTGTTATCACGAATCAATAGTACTTTCAAAGTACAACAATTGTTGTGCAAAGTAAAATGGAACCAGCATGTCGAGTGCCGTACAGTCCAGGCCTCGTTGTGGTTTGTACAATTCTCGTTGAACATTGTGCAATCCCTGTTGAACTTTTGGTGTACAGTTTTTGTTGTAGTTTTGTTGTACTTCCCACACTTTTTCTTGCAGTGAGGAATTTATTGCACTTTCAAAGTACAACAGTGCCAAGTACAATGGAACCAGCATGATGTGCAGTCCAGGCCTCGTGGTTTGTGCAATTCTCGCTGTACTTTCTACAATCCCTGTTGCACTTTTGGCGACTTTTGGTGTACAGTTTTTGTCATACTTTTGTTGTACTATTCACACTACTTTTCTTGGAGTGCAATTTTGTGGTGAAGTGAAACAAAGTAGTGTAGGTACAGGTTGGATGGAATGATCACACAGAGGGTGTGGCCTAGAGGAGAGTTCGAGTATTTTGTAACCTAATCTATAACCTTTGCAGCGTTACCAACATAAAATCCTGCACTCCAGTTGTGCCAACTGCTACACAACATCAGACATCTCGCTTACTCTCAGAGACAACGTTCTTCCAGAATGCCTCAAATCAAATCAAAAGGGGCACTGAGAATGAAAGAGTCATAAAATTTTGGGCGAGGAACTTTATATCAACCAAAGTTGGGTGAGGAAGGTTTCCTCACCCAAATTTGGGTCATAATACTATGGAGCCATGTAGGTAGCTGATTCACCCTTCCTCACCCAAATTCACTGTGGCAAAAAGGTACGGAAAATTCTGTTAATTTTTTGCCAGGATTCTCCGTAGCCCTCTTATCAATATTCTCCGTAGGGCCGTACGTATTCTCTGTAAGTCCGCACAGTCTTCTCCGTAGGACCTGGAAGACTGTATAGTCCTACGAAGATCACTGTAAGGTCCTACGGAGAATACTGTGCGGTCCTACGGAGAATACTGTAAGAGCCTACGGAAAATACTGTAAGAGCCTGCGGAGAATATTGATAAGGGGGCTACGGATTACCACAAGCTGTTTACAGAATTTTCCGTAGCTTTTTGCCACAGTGTTTGGGCGGGGAAACGATCCTCGCCCAAATTTTGGATTATAAAGTATACCTCGCCCAAAATTCGGTACTGATCATAACTTTTTCATTCTCAGTGCGGACTCTGCACTGGGAACCACTCACTAGGGATTTTCCCTTCCGAGCTGTTGTTATGCTGTGCAAGGATTGAATTGCGATGTGTCCCGGCAGCACGATTTCTCAGATGTCGTTCATCGCTTCCACGGTCATGACGGCCGTGCAGCCCCTGGTGGTGCTGGTCAACAACCTGCTGCACCTGAGGGCCATAGCCCCGCCCGTGGCCGGCCTGCTCATGCCGCCGCTGCGCGGCCACGCCTTGTTCATCACCTGCGCCACCAGCATGATAAGCCTTCTGCTGGGCAAGCACGTATGTATGGCATTCGTACGGTAGCGTATCTACTGTGGACTTCCCTATGAAGATACGTTGTTATGTCGGATGGTCACTCATATGTTCTCCGGGATTGGTGTAAAGGCTCCAGGGCAGAGGATAGAGTCAAACGGCACTGCTAACCCTATCGTGGTCTACTCACTCTAAATGTTGTACAGTGAAGATTCTCCATACGTATTATGGTGACAATGTTCCAAATTGTGGTGGTGCAGCTGACTTCATAACATACCATTGAGAATTCACCGTACCTTATACATATTTCGACGAATTTCGTTGTTGTCATAGAGAAAATCTCCACCATAATATGTTGGTGCAACCTTTCACCGTATGGCATTTACAGTGCAAAGGCTCCAGGGCAGAGGATAGAGTCAAACGGCACTGATAAACCAAACGTGGTCTACTCCGTACCAACTGATGCGGTCAAATGTGAGTGTCATATTGCCCGCATCAAATGGTGTGGTTATTGCCCTCACAAACGTGTTCTTGCGTATCACGCTCTTATCCTTCTACATGGCACAAACGTGGTCTACACCGGTCTTGTAGTGAGGAGACAACATGATGGATCAGTTTCCTCGTGCGGACATCCTACTCCGCGTGTGGTGGCTGTCTATGAGTCATGTTCCACACCACGTGTGCGGAGTTGGGCCACGATGGGGTTTTCCGTGAGGAAAGACATGGGGAGGGGGAATTCCGGTAAATTAAATTTGGCGACTTCAAGGGGTCCGTGCATATAGAGAAACGTCTGTGACATTCCAAGGAAATTTTATTGAAATTCCAAAGAAATATTTTACATTACATTCTTATTGAAATTTACAAAGAAATATTATACATATTTTACGAGAAACTTGTAGGTTGTAAGAACGAACCTCCAGTTCGAAGAAATTTACTAATGAACAAAGAGCAAAATTATTTTCTAGCTGTGATACGGTGTTACCTCGCCACTGAGTATTTGCTTGGAGTGTATAGTCCTTACAATTTTTGTTTCAGTGGCTGTATTACTTGTCTCAGAGGAAACCTCCTCTGAGCAACGTACTGGAGTTCTCGGCCTCAATGATTTCACTGACTTTCGATACTTTTATCATATTTCTGTGTGCGTGTGCCGAAGACAAGCTACAGGTAGTATCCAACCCGAGTAAAATGTATTTCGCAATTGTATTTCTGTGCATCTGTGCGGGCGCAACAGGGTAAATTCTTATTTACGTTGCCCCGCGAGGAAAATTGCGCACAATGTAAACAAAATTCTTTTATCGTATGATAAGGGTTTCTTTCGCATTTATCTATGCAAATCTAACAACTGATCCAGGAAGCGGAAGAAGGGTATAAGTCGAGTTGAATCCGTGCACTTTTGCGAGGCCTAAACCTTGCAGGTTGGAGAACAGGTGGGGAATGTCATCTAAAAATAGATGCAAGAGGATGGGACTTGTCTCACCCGAGGGGTGAATCACTAGTGTACTCATGTGTACAAATTTGCCCGTACTCAGTGTACTCCCAAGTTATAAAAACGTGAAATTCTCTAATTTTCCGACCGATTTAACGTCGAGTGCCGTTAGAAACGCCAAATAAACCCTTAAAACGTTTACAATTGTGAAATTTATGAGTAAAGCAAGGTGTACTCACCCGTACTCATGTACTCACGTGTACACCAGAACGCTGAGTGTCACCCCTCGGTCTCACCACACTTATTTTTGGACCAAATTTTCGCTCATGTTTACTTGATAGACTGATAAAAGGTCACCGAATCAACTCGACTTAACCCCTTCTTCCGCTTCCTGGATCAACTATTCGTAATTCGAAGAAACTCAGTGTTTTTTGTTAATGGCCCAAATCACTCCCCCAAGGTGAATTGATTCTGTATTCTGCACAGGACATCAATTTACGTTTGTCGGTGGTCAGCAAAGTGAGACCAGAGCTAAGGCCTCTGATTCTTGAGACTGGAGCACGGCAATACGAGCTGACAGCTGATCAGGTAAATATTGAGGGGTCCACTGTTAAAAGTCCAGCCGTTTTAGAATGAAAAATTTATGCAAAGTTTAAAAATAACCACTGATGATCACAAACGGCAAATCACTGTTTTCAAACGAATAAAAATAATTCTGGAACAAAAATATTCCATTTTGTTACGAGAAATGCGTTTTGAAAACGGAAATTCGTTTGGAAACAAGAATTACATGTTTACAAACGGTGAAACATCATTCAGATTAGAGCAAATATTCCTCGTTCCGCGGCAAAAAGCAAAAGTGTTAAGGCTGCTCACGGCTGAACCGCTCTGTTTCAGCATGGACATTTTTAACAGCAGTGCATCGCTAGAAACAAAATGTGATTCTGAATCGGCGATGCTCCTCACAGTAAAAAGTTCCGCCACATCCAGTTACAATTTCTCGTTCGCGGCAAAACAAATGAGGTGCTAGCGACGGTCAGCATGGATTTCAGCAGACGAAACAAGCGAACGGACTGCAGCTCGTCTCGGGAGGGGTGATCGTGACTCGGAGCTAGCGGTCACAGACGCTTACGCCCATCGGAAGCTGGGCCTGCCACGGGAATTGAGACGCACGGTCAGGTAGGCGCTCTGGTTCTCGGCGCGCTCGGTCCGTTCGGGGCACTCTCGGACCGACGGCACTGTAAAACGATTGACCTCGCGTCCAGCGATTTTAATCGTCGTATTAATGTGAACATTACAACAAACAGTCAGGGGCTTAAGTAATCATTTGCGTGACTCATCAAAGCGTAACGTTGCCGGCGGGCACGCTCAAATATGCACAAACAGCTCAAAAACAGTTGCTGTGGTCATCCTAACCTCTCTGGCGGAACACCACCTGGTGACGCAGGTCACCGTTTTGGTGACGGGCCGTCGCCGGGTTTGTATGGGTACCCGTTTCGGTGAGATTGGATATAGAACGACCACCAAAACAGCGAATCTTTTTTTACTGTGCTGTTCAGATCTCGTTGCTGGGCTCCGTCGGCACCATGGGGCTGCCGATGGCGTGCAACGCGGTGCGGCACCGCATCAAGCTGGTCACAGACTCGTTCCTCGTGTACCGCGCCATCGAGAAGCTGGGCACTGCGCACCCCGGCACACTGGGAGCCCTCATCCTGCAGCTGGTCACGGGGATAGGTCGCATCGTGGTTTCTGCCACCGCTGGGGAGGCGCTGTACTGCGAGGTGTTCACTCTCGGACCCCTACTGAGTTTTTGTTTAATAACGTATTGACGTTTGTGCGTATCAATAAGTGTATTACCATTTACATATATTTTATGAACATTTTTACCAATTTCATCTTGAAGCTTCTTAACGAAACTCTATGAATGCGCACAAACGTCAATGAACATTGATAAAATGTCGGTTAAAGGATGAGAGTGCTGGAAGTAGCAATCACTGTTTGAACTAAAGCATTACCCTGTGTTTGCAAGCGTTAGCAGTTTACTCTTGAAATCGACCGTAAGAGGCTTATACGCTCAGATTCCCCGAATCGGAATGCATGGGCAACTTCACTCTCAGACTCGGACTGAGTTATTGACAGAGATCCTTAACTTAACTTAACATTTAACTAACACTGCTTTCATAACGTGATGTGATATTCGAGACTTGGACAAAGTTACACGGTTTTGACTGTTGAAACACCCCTCTCGCGGGCGCCATTTGGCTGGGCTACCAGCGAGCACCCTGCCCCAGTCTGACGGCTCTGTACTCTTGCACCAAGTCAGTCACCACCGAGAGTCAGGAATATTACAATATCACTCGATGGGTGACCCTATTTGTGGGCTTCATTTTAGGATGTCAAGAGGTGTATTTGAGAAACTCACCCAAACTCTGTGGACTCATCTGAAGAATATGGGAAGATTGAGACGGAAAAGAACATATTTCCCAGACATTCTTATGGTTGTGTGGCTACTAGCAACCCCGGATAGTTTTCGCAGTGTTGCACTTAGATTCGGTGTTCGCCCCAGCACGTTGTACTATCATTATAGTTATATTGTTGAGGCTTTACGTGAGTTGGCTCCACAGTACATAACATGGCCGGATGAGGAGGAGATGGAAAGGGTTAGACAAGTTTCAAAGGGCTTCTGGATTCCCTGGGATCATCGGCAGCATAGATTGCACCCACATTGATGTGACAGCTCCTGTGCAAGATGCTGCCTCATACATCAACCGTCATCACGGTTACTCTGTCAACGTCCAGGCTGTGGTTGACAGTGACATGTTGGTCCGAGACCTTCATGTTGGGGAGCCGGGAAGCATGAGTGATACTCGTGTGTTCCGCAGAAGTCCTCTGCATGGAAAATTGTTGCGTGGTGAAGGAATTCAGCCAGATTCAGAACACCTTGTTGGAGATGGTGGTTATATCCTCACTGATTTTGTGATGATGCCATATGTTAATAACGGCCATCTCTCAGAAGAGCAGTTAAATTTTAACAAAAAAATATCACAGTGCAGGGTGAGAGTTGAAAATAGTTTTGCATTGGCCAAGGGAAAGTGGCGCAGACTCAAATCTTTGGAGAATCGAAACCGTTTTATTCTGGTAGATCACATTACTGCCTGCTTTGTTTTGCACAACTTTTTGGTTCTGAATGGTGAAATACTGCTAGAGATTGAAGAATTAGCTAGATTAATCAATGAAGCTGAAGTGCTTGGTCGTGAAGGCTTGGAAGAAGATGAAGAAGAAGATGGTGCAGGTTTTGGTGCTGGTGGCCTTGTTTTTGATGACCGGGGCACAGCAGCTGTTTCCTGGCCATCAACAGCATACTTTGTGCGGGCGCCTACAGAGTTAATACATGGCGGATTTAGAGTTGCTCTGCCACTCTCCATAGCACTGAAAATCTTGAACCATGGCCATGTACTTGGCACTCCTCCTGTGCGATTTTCCCCATCGAATTCCTTTCTGAATTTTGTCATCATTGCAGTAATCTTGTGCTTAATTTATTTGAATAGTTCAGAAGTTAAATAGTGTATGGTGCTACCACTAAACAACCACAAAGTTTGGCTTTAAGCCAAGATTCCTCAGAACCTAGCGGGGCAGAGGCCTACGTAGCCTGCAAAGGGCAGACTAAGAAACGATCGTCTAAGAGGCCTAGAACAGGAACTGTAAATGAAACTGTATGTGGAAATCGAAGGAACTCTGGGTCCGGGGAGCGTGGATGCGGCGTCGGTCGGGGTTGGGCGTGTCGGCGTCTTGAGGTCCTCGCTGTAGACTGGGTTCGGGAACGGCAGTGTAATATTCCTGACTCTCAGAAATAATGAGTCGGTTCTGGTGGTAGCGTGGCTTTATTGGTGGGGCACAAGGCGAGAGCGTCCTCTTGGTGCAAGAGTACAGAGCCGTCTGACTGGGGCAGGGCGTGCTCGCTGGTAGCCCCTGGCAGCCAACAATGGCGCCCGCGAGAGGGGTGTTTCAACAGTCAAAACCGTGTAACTTTGTCCAAGTCTCGAATATCACACTTCATCGCCCTCTGGGTCCGGGGAGCGTGGATGCAGCATCAGTCGAAGTTGAGCATGTCGGCGTCTTGAAGTCCTCGCTGTAGACTGGGTTCGGGAACGGTTCGCTCGAAGTCTCGTGGATTTGGAGGGTCGGGTGCTCGGGTCAGGGATTCGGGAGGCCGCTCGGGTCGGGTGCTCGGGTACTGGAGTCCGGGAAAGACGCTCGGCGTACGGGTACCCTGCTCTGTCGCACTTCGACGAGCTCAACAGTGGGGCACAGCCGCGGGGGCAGTGTTGCCAGACGTACCACCTTGGTGGTACATTAGACCAGCTCTTATTTTGCGAAAGTGAGAATTCCGCTGGGTTCCCCGACTCAAAATGACCGAAATGGTTAGAAAACTCTTAATTTGAAAGCCCAAGGTCGTCAGACTTACCAAAGCCGTGCCCCAAGACCCTATATAAAGGCAAAAAGCCAATTTTTTTTTTCGGACTTTTACCAAACTAAGTTTGACTCTAGGGTAAACAGGCCATAATACGACCCTTTGGGCGAAAATTTCGTCCGTTTTGCGATATCTCGACTCCTTCATGCCCAAACGGCCTCCCCAACCGCGAGCATAAAAAAGACGCCGCGCGGGCGGTTGGGGAGGCCGCTTGGGCATGAAGGAGTCGAGATATCGCAAAACGGACGAAATTTTCGCCCAAAGGGTCGTATTATGGCCTGTTTACTCTAGAGTCAAACTTAGTTTGGTGAAAATCCGAAGAAAAAAATTTGGCGTTTTGCCTTTATATAGGGTCTTGGGGCACGGCTTTGGTAAGTCTGACGACCTTGGGCTTTCAAATTAAGAGTTTTCTCACCATTTCGGTCATTTTGAGTCGGGGAACCCAGCGGAATTCTCACTTTCGCAAAATAAGAGCTGGTCTAGTGGTACATGTACCACTATTTCGAGCCCCGTACCACCACCGAGCGATTCCGTACCACCTTTACCGCGAAAACACCGGATTAGGTTCGCACGCAGGCAATTGGAACTTTTCGGGCGCCTGGGTCGGGTTGTCGTCCCCCAGAAGTCGAACATGTAATCCTTTGCCTGCGTTCGTGACCTATTCCAAGGGACGGGGCTCTGGTCAGACAGGTCGGGCGCGGGAAACTGAAAGTGCAGTGCCACTTTTGGGCCCCGCCCGAGGCACGCGGGCAACAAAACGGGCCTGCTTGCTTGTACACCAGCCGGAGGAGCCGCCGCTGACTTCTTCAGAATTCTCAATTTGGCCAAATTCTAAATTCCCGATGTTTACGCCTAGCGTAAATTTTTAGCCCCCCCCCCCTTTCCGTACCACCATAAGGCTCCAATGTACCGCCTTTCCCCCACCCCAAGCGTACCACCGAAGAGCCCCGAAGTACCACCTTTTCCCCCTCCCCGTACCACCGAGCGCTGTTCGGCTTCTGGCAACGCTGCGCGGGGGCCGGACGAGTCGGCGGAGCCGGCGGGGCGGTGTGCTCCGGAGCTCGTCGAAGTGCGACTAATTAGTTTTAGGAACAATATAAGAGCGATTCTCACGTTTCGGGGTAGTTTTGACGTCTCTGATTTGCCGAAAGTGAGAAATATCCAATTAAGTCGAGGGGGTATGCGCTCTCTGAACCTGTGTACCGACTATTACGCTATTACGCTCTATTACGCCACAAATTAATCGGAAGTTAGCTAAAAACGGCCTAAAACACACCAAAATTGATCAAATTTTGACAATTTCGGCTATTACGCGACTATTACGCGTATTATTACGCGTGCTATTACACATAGAGTGAACCGACTATTACGCGAGTGCATACCCCCTCGAATTAAGTTTTTCTGATTTGGGGTTCTGAATGATGCTAGAGTTATGGCAATGGTATTTTTAGTGAAGACCTTGTATTACCTTCCTAAAAACATGAGCCGTAAGGTATTCCCATACGTTTAAGCGGGTGTTTTGATCGCGGAAATCACGGAAGTTACAAAGTGTGAAAATCAGCTTAAACGGCTGACTCGGGCTGGCTATGGCTTATAAGTCGTTCCAGGGTCAAATGGTATTCAAAGCCCAACATTCACGCAGAAAATTTTTTCACCTAGTGCTCCTGCAACATTGGGTAAAGGGTGCCACGGAAATTACAGGTAATTGTTGATACACACCATTTTATAATGCTCTAGCCCGCTTTGAGACCGTGTAGAGCATCTTAGATTTCCGCGACCCAAGCAATTATAACCCAGGGACTTAACTTTGATGGCTTGTGTAATGGAATGTTATAAGTTTGGCTTGAGGAGAAGTCCAGAGCTGCCTTTTCGAAATTTGTGTAGTGAAATTGAATATACGGTGGACATTTTTCGTTCCGGCATAAGTACCTTTGAAAGAAGTCTGGCGTATTGGTCTTCGGTTGAAATAAGCTCGAGACATACCAAGCTTCGAATCCCCATCGACAGTTGGCAGCATTTTCGAACCACACCGCCACACTGGGGGTGAAAAGTTCAAGTATGTTCTCTCGAGACAATCACGGAAGTTACATTTAGGGTATTCCAAACGCTAGGTAGACCAATCCAACGCACGTAAACTTTTCGAAATGTGTGCGTTTAGTGGGTAATGACCCTCCCCAACATCAGAAACAAATCCCATGTCGATATCTGCGCTCGTTTGGGCACAGGAGTCAGAAGAAACGAAACTACCCCGAAACGTGAGAATCGCTCACAAGCAATTTCCCACGACTGGACATATCTGTTCAGCTTCCAAAGCGTAACATCTTCAAGTATAACTTTGCACTGACTCGAAAACTCAGTAATGCTGCAGTTTTATCACTGTTGTGGAAAACAATCCTGCCTTTCTTTTCATTTATTCTGTACAAAGTATTTTCTGGATAATCACATCCTCATTATTTCAGTCTAAGAAAACTATGTCGGTACTTGGATCGGTGAACACTGCGGGCTGGCCAGAGCGGGAGAAGCTGCTGGTGAGTGGGGCAGGGGCTCACTGCAAAGCCATTAAAACCAACAAAATTGGCAAGCCGCCGTTTGGAATGCTAAAATCTGGTAAGCGGGGCTCTTAAATACTCCCAAGCATGCCAGAATTTGGCGTGGCATGCGGCTGGACCGCCAAATATTAGTAGACTGATTTTACGGCTGGGTTCTACAAGGTTAAGTCTTGAGGTACATAAAATTCCAATGCTAATCGCATTGCACGGTGTTCCCGTTTCCATAACTGGTTGAAAATCGAGGAAAACATGACAAGACAACCGCAGCCTTTGAGAGCATGCCAAACAATCCAACCTCAGCAACAATGGAGGGGCAGTTTCAATGGGCGCCTGTTCGTTCTTTCAGCCTCGCGATTTTCGAAAGGGCGCAGACGGGAAGCATATTGGTGCCAACCCACGAAAATTAGTTTGATGCGTCGTTTCTGCTACGAACTTTTTAGTAGTGACAGACTTGTTCCAACGTTGAGACACCGTGCAATGTGTTAGCATTAGCATTTTCAAATTTCACGGCGTTTAGATTTTTTTTAATGGGTGACTTTAAATTTTGACGGGTGGTACGATGGGACCATGCCGTTGCCATGGAGATTTTTTTTTATGTTTTGACCATTTGCTCAGAACACATACGATCTCTTGTTACTTTAATGAGCCAGGAGGTTTAGTTTTGAGGAGTGGCACATTTTTATTTGAACCATTTTTTCATATCATTAACGGTTCTCGTTTTCGATTGTTGCAAATTCATGTTTTTCGCGTTTACGGAAAATTTCCACGATGAATTTTCGAAAAAAATTGGAATTTTCGTTTTTTTCATGGTTGAAATAGTTTAGAGTTGTTTATTTGAAAATCGGAGAGGGGGGGGGGGGGGGAAGAATCCACGGACCTCGGACAATAGGGGTTCTTAGGAACCCCTAACAAGTATCGCTGATAGAACACGCGATGGAGGACTATTGATACGGCTGCCGCAGTCTTGAAAGCTTTCACAGATAAGTACTTCGCTTGAAGAGCTTTCTCCGAGCAAAAGAATTTGTAATAGAGTACGGGAGAAAACTTCACAAGGGCTTCTGACTCCGTTCATCTTTGCAACCGCTTCCGTCGTCTTCAGGTGGAGAGGCTTATACGGAACAGTCGTCGCGGGGTACGTTGGTCCATGGGTGGACTGGCTTACTTGGACAACAGTTTCATGCTTTCAGTAAGTATTGTCATGCCACTGATTTTTGGCCCGTCCCGTTTATTTTTTGTAAAAAAATGACGGAGGGACGGGCATATAGTATGATGCATGCTGTGCGTCCGTTCGTTCGTTCGTTCGTCCGTCCGAGGACTTCCCGTGGTCCGATCTTGACCAAATTTGGTATGCAGCCTCCTTGGGTGACCCTAAGAACCGCCCGGTGGCAGCAAATCCGATCCGAGCCCCGGGGGCGCTGCTGCAGGTGCATCATGGTCTACATGGGGTCGAGGAGGATCTCGGCAACGGATGCAGCTAGGAGGGCATGTAGGGGTATTTTTGGAATCGGGGCGACGAGAGAAAACCAATGGTGCCAGTTTCGCGC